TGTTCTCTGCGACATCAATAACTCCCCCCCCCCCCTTTTCCTTTTTCAGCCTTCCGCCTTTCTTCTTTATAAAAAAAATCTTTTTACTCCTTTCCCTTTGACACCCGGAACCCCAGCTCCAGTAACACCAGCGCTAAAAAGAAAATCAGGAATTTCGTTTGCTCGGCTGGTATCCCGTTGGGATATGAGTACAAGCGATCCTAGTTTGAATCTTTCATGAAGTATTATTCTTAGACACAGCTGCGTTTTGAAGAATAATTACGGCGCCACTTTCGGGTCGGCATTATCAGAAATGACTGTCCAGTATGAGCTACCCTCACTTAATCAAATTAAACAGCCTAAATGTGTTCAGTACAAGAAAACAATATCAGTGACAGAAAAGAAACTGAATCAACACAAGTTCAACCAACTACATGCTCTCTCTACTGGACCCAACAGATTACTACACCGAATGAGCACTTTTAATAGGGCATAAGTAGAAGCACAAAGGAAACATGCTCTCAAACTCTAAAACATTACTTAAAGTTAGAGTGTCTGGTCACATCCGTGGCGCCGTCACCTAAAAGACTCACAAGACTTCATGATGACTCCCTTGGCTATAGCTTATCCATTCCAATATATTTTTCCAAACATTTCCATATTGTCGTACGTGTTTGGCCTTTGAATAAACAAACATAACATTGATCGTGACTGAGACTATGCCAGTCCTCGGGAGACTTTCAGCGTGGCAGTCCGTAGAGCCCAAAAAACTAAATTACACGCCAATACATTTGTGACACTGTACAAATAACTGTAACTCTTTTTGTCCCGTGCCTTAGAACACAAAGTAAGAAAACCTAAATAAATGTCAGAGTACCAGTCTGAAGCGTCAAAAGAGTTTAAAATACAAAATCAGAGGGCTCCATCAACCTCAAAAGAACGCTCAGTTGGCATGCAACATAAGGAAAAGGTTCTTTTTTCATGTTTGCGTTCACTGAGCGCGTCATTATACAAAGTAAATTAGCAACAGACGATGCCATTCAATCTTCAGTTCTGACAACCATCAACTAAGGTATCAGACGATGAACTGGCCAAAGAAGTTGCTTTTTCTTCTTCTTCTTCTTCTTCTTCTTCTTCTTCTTCTTCTTCTTCTTCTTCTTCTTCTTCTTCTTCTTCTTCTTCTTCTTCTTCTTCTTCTTCTTCTTCTTCTTCTTCTTTTTCTTCTTCTTCTTCTTCTTGAACCAAGTACCAAGTATGCACAAAACCTTTAAAACTGCCCAAACAACGAAAGTTCCAGAACGCCCGATTGAGAATTAATAACCTCAGGCACCCACACTTCAGCTGAGAGTGAATCTTTTTCTTCTTCTTCTTCTTCTTGAACCAAGTACCAAGTATGCACAAAACCTTTAAAACTGCCCAAACAACGAAAGTTCCAGAACGCCTGATTGAGAATTAATAACCTCAGGCACCCACACTTCAGCTGAGAGTGAAACCAAATGCGCTATAGGTAAGCCCGACAGAAACCGGTGTACCACTGAAATGAGTGACGTAGTAAAAAAAGGTATAAATGGAATGTGAAATTATATAAATTTAACGCCTTTGTCAAAACTAGAAGGTTCTTTAAGAGGAGGGACCTCCGAGTATGACGTCCATCACCCAAAGGACTAAGCCAAATAAGAATTTCGTGTAAGCAAAGTGTCTTCCCTAAGGACACAACATCGGACCGAGCAGAGGCTCTAACCCCCGATCCCAAAAAGAGATATTATTATCTCATAGATTCTACACACTTCATTCACAAGTCGATATATGAAATGGTACTGACACGAAGAGCTGTCAGCAAATATGCTGTCACCCTATATCTTGCGTCCATTTCGAAATAAATTAGACCATCAATGAGCTTCTGTCATGCCTGTAAGGGCCAACCCAGGTTTTGTGAGATGTATCGAAGAAATAAAATAGAGATACTCGATGAGAGAGAAATCAAACTCACGCCCTTTTAAAGTGTAGGAACTGGAGCAGTACTTTTGTCAGCAGTTTATCTATGCAGGCTATTCTAGGCAGTACGTAATATCTAGGTCATAGAGCTAAATCGCTATCTCAGAATTACAAAGTTGTATCTGCTCAGTACCTGGTTTTGAGAAAATTGACATTAAAAGTATTGAGTTTCACATGTCAAACTTTTTAGAACGCAACTCTGATTATCTCGATAACGAATTTGATCTTACGATTTGATTAATTAAACTGACCTCATGGTGTTAGTAACTTAAGTAACTCAAAACAGCCAGAGACGTCAGACATAATTTGTTAATTCTAAGGTAGCGAAATGTATCCGCCTTGTGGCACCACAGACGCCAATTATCTCTGTTTGTGCCACAGGTTGTCAACAGCTCATAAAAAGTTGCATAATGGCGGAGCTGATGTCTTGGTGCGAGGGGAAGGGAAAGCCGAAAGAAAAGAGGTACGTTATGCGGATGAAACAGACGAAACTCTCGGGTTCTTTTAAACCTTCAAAATCTAAAAGGGTGAATATACAAAGCGAGTCATTCAGAGTAGGAATCCTTCTAGCGTCTTCGTAAAGTTCACAATGGTCTTTAAGCAAAATATTTCTATAGTTATTGAATATATTCTTGCAAAAGCTGTTATATCTTGGTATACATTTTACACCCTGAAACACGCAAATATTTCACTTTTAACGAGGAGTAAAAGTGGCAAGCTTGAAGGGAACGGAAGCGAAACGGAAAATACGGCAGACAAGGTACGCAAAATTTGAAATGGGACGTTTATATAGGGATTTGATTTCCTAGCATTAAGGGTGTTGAAATGGTTCCATTTGCTACCCCAAACCCATGGCAAGAATAGCTTCAGCTCATGGGCCAAGATATATATATATATATATATATATATAATATATATATATATATATATATATATAACAAGATATATATATATATAATATTATATATATATATATATATAATATTAATCCGAGCAAAATACAGTCTTAAATTCAAAATAATCAATTAGTATTGTTTTCCTTTTAACTGCCACTGAAACGTTGCAAATGCTAACTGTATGTTCAATTGCTTGCTTAAGTCTTTCAGAACATAATTTATTAAATGAAATAAAAATTGCAAACAAAATGTTTTCCACATAAATTGCACCCACATTTTCAAAATGCATAACAATCCCAGTAAAAAAATTTAGTTTTACTTCAAGAAAAAAAAAACAAACTCAAAATGAAAACAGCAAGAAAAGAGTTAAAAGTTGCATATCAGATCTCTTGTATGTATAAGTGTGGAGGGGGGGGGGGGGGTTCATCGTAGCTATACTTAACAACAGATGCCTTGTTGCTGAAATATAAGCACCTGATTTACTTTGATTACAGTTCTTAACATTTACTTCTCCGTAACAGGCAGCTGCTTCAGTAAACCCAAAACAAGTTTGTTGTGCTTCTCAACGCTTGGATGAAGTAAATGAAATGCACTCCAGATGTAGAAACCGGAATCATCTCAAAAACATCATTGGCATGAAACAAAAACTATCTGAGGGCAACAAGAAAATCATTTAAGAACACAAACGCCTCAAATTCGTACCACACACACCGTCAAACTTACCGAATGTTGCACGATTCAGCAGAGACTGGTAAGAAGATATCTGAATCATTCACGCAAAAGCAGTTACCGCCGTCGATCGCCAGGAACATATACCTGCAAAGAAAAAAAAATTTGAAAGATGATTTTTCCAAACAATTTGAAAGATGATTTTTCAAAACTAAAACCAAAGAAAAATAATCCCTTTAGAGTAGAAAAAATGAGCTAGTATACATTCAAAATCAAGCTTTAGTGATTGATCATACTTGAAGGAGAAAAAGAAAAAGACAAAAAGACATTTTGGAAAAATGGCTGGTTATGACTAAGCATTGTGCAAAGTAAATGTCTCCCCGCCCTTAATGAATAATTAAGTATTTACCAGGAAACACATATTTGCAACCACAAACCGATATAATTCTAGCATAATGGCAATTTCAAACATGCCGGGACCAGAGAGACAAGAGCAATTCTGTCTAATGAGATATTTGTGAAACGTATAGGACCTTTACGTCTATGGCAGGCATCATACATGCTTAATCTAATCTAATTAATGTTAGCGTAGTGTTCAAACGGAGTAACGATAAAACTTGGGGAAGGACAAAGATAGCATAGAAAAATGAGTAACCAAACGAGAAAAGCACAGGTTGGGATAAAGAAGAGAAAAAGGGATTAAACAGAATCCAACAAAATAATAAGATACAGAAGGTTACTAAACAAAACACAAGACAAAACAGAAACCGAACCCAATTTTTCTCTGACAACATCCGAATGTGAAATACACAGCCAAGGTTGTAGACTGTCCAAACGAACAAATGGACGACTCTCCCCATCCTACGGTGACCACTATAAAAGCCTTATTTGGGCAAAAATAAATTTGTGCCAAGACAAAAGAGGCTACAAGTTACTCTTACCCCCAATTAGAACTCTCTCTCTCTCTCTCTCTCTCTCTCTCTCTCTCTCTCTCTCTCCCTCCCTCCCTCCCTCCCTCCCTCCCTCCCTCCCTCCCTCTCCCTCCCTCCCTCCCTCTCTCGCTCTCTCTCTCTCTCTCTCTCTCTCTCTCTCTCTCTCTCTCTCTCTCTCTCTCTCTCTCTCTCTCTCTCTCTCTCTCTCTCCCTCCCTCTCTCTACATGGGGTTTGTAACATCGCTGGAGAAGGACAATTAAAAACTATTTAGCGCTGCTCGGGGTACAATGATTGACAGAAAAATAATCTTGTTTCACCAGCTAAAAATAATATATGTAATGTGGAAAGACTGGCCACTCCTATCCAACCATGCCTCGCAGACGACGCAAAGAGAAAACAAAAATAATAACAAGTACAAGTAATTTTACAACGGACAAAGAAGTGTACATTATGCAAGTACTGATTACTCTGTGTTTATATCAACATTTGTGGTCAATAAGCTTATTAAAATGTTGGTAAAGCCTTTCTTCAGGGGCTAGGTCACGGGAAACATGGAGGAGATGCGTGGAAATAAGACATGAGAGAGATGAAGCTCACTTGGCACGAGCTCGGAAGGATGGCCCAGGACAGAGATAAATTAAAGGAGCTTGTAAGTGGCCTACACCCTGCCAGGGGTGAAAAGCATTGATGATGACGAAAGCTTTTCTTATTTGTTAAGTAAAAATTATGACACGTGCCATTGGCAAATATTGCAACAGGAAACTGATAATAGGCAATGCAATAGCTTCTTCCCACCTAGAGGTACTATGGACGTAATTACATCCGTGATTCCGGGCAAACAGAGTCAAAATCTTTAACTGAGAAAGTTGTGAGTAAATTGGGGACTAATTAGCTTAGACAGCTGTTTACGTTCACTTTTGGGGGAGAGTATCCATTGTTTTTGATGGCATCCTTATCCACACATCTCGCACGAAAGCGTTTTGATGTGGCTTCATTTGCCCTCGACTGCTCATGCAAGGAGTTTCCGATTCCGTATTTATTTGACCTCAAATGATTTTTCAAGCCCCTAAACCAATAAAGTTTAGAGGTCATGCCCTATTGGAAAAGGCCTTCAGTAGTGAGGAAAAAGATGTACTCAATGCTCGCAAGAAGGTTCACCCAGCTTAAAATTAAAGTAGGTATTACAGGCAAATGTGCTCATTGATGACGTACGATAGTAAAAAAAATCAGTTAAACACGGAGGAAAAAACCTGTTATACATGAATATATATATATTATAGTAATATCATTATAAATTATGGTCAGAATTATTTGTTCAAGATGAAATGCAGTCAATAACAAACAGCAAGATCCCCTTTAAGGATGTAGACAACTAGTGCAGTGTGTGTTTGTCATTGTGTGCGCGGGTGAATGAGTCTGTGAGCACGTGCGAAATTAAGGGAGTGCGCTTGTGAACAAAAAATCTATCCTCGTCTGTCTTTTTAGAACTCTCTCGAGAATATTATGCGTTTATCGACAGACATATTTTTTTTAGCAAAGAGAAGCACATCGCGCATCGACACAAAAACGGTCATAAAGTGCAGGGAAGAAGCAAGACAGATAGACAGAAACAACAGAGGGAAAGAAAAGAAGCAGGCCTACCAGTGACGCCCTATAACCACGCACTAACAGACAGACTAACAGACATTTAGACAAACATACCAGTGATGCCCTATAACCACGCACTAACAGACAGACTAACAGACATTTAGACAAACATACCAGTGATGCCCTATAACCACGCACTAACAGACAGACTAACAGAAATTTAGACAAACAGAACGAAAAGGTAAATAGGTCGAAAAACAAAAGCTATTGGCATTTAACCACCTAATACTTGATGGAAGAAATCAATCTCAGAGGCCTTTGATCTCCTTCCTACATAGCAATGGTATATCAGAGACAGGAAACTACTCTGCTTCAAGTTTGTTG